AAATGAGTCTCTCTCTTACTAACCTAACAGCTGTGGGCATAAACAAAGCCTGCTGCTCTATGACTGGGAAACTTGAAGACTGGCAACTTTTATTAGCTGATGCCAAGCAAGTCTGCTCCCCTATGGTTTTGGGCTTTTTGCCTTCATCCCCATTTACTTGTAGCAAATACCTATTTCATCTTACCATAGGTTATTCTTGTTGGCATGCTTTAATGCACTCTCACTGGCAGATTTGCTTCATGGCAGATTTGTGGGCGTTCCTTAGGAGCAGAAACAGTGCTCTGAGGGAGCCCAGATACTAGAATCTATCACCTTTTGTTGTTGTTGTTTTGCGAACTTTATACCAAGCCAAGAGCCTCTGTCTAAGCCCATGGCCTGGCTGCCTTCCGTATTCATTTGTCAGATTATCATCTTTTAAATATTCTTGCTGCTAACAACCAAAGGGTCACAGAAGCTGCCGTGAAGTATACTCGAATAGCACTGAAAATTCACGCTAATGGGCTGCGATCATATGCACAATTAGACCTGACATAGGTGTGAATGCCGGACAGATTTAAAGGGTGTGATCAGACAACAACATCTGGGAAGCACCCCGCAGCCGTCGGCAACCCGTTCTGCTCCACCGCAGAAGCGGAATTAAAAGACACCAGGGAAAATCCAGTAGTAAACGGGTTGCGATGGGCCACGGATGGGCTTTCCTGTGTCTGATCGCTCCAGCACACTCTCATGGCGTCAGGATGGTCTGATCAGGCCATCCTGACTCCCTGCCATCCCCCCCCCTTGCAGTATGTGCATCATCACAAACTCCATTGGGATCCCTTGGTGCGGAGGTGTGATTAATCAATCGCTCATTTAAGCGCATGGGGGGGGGAAGCACACACTCAAAAAGACTCACCCGCAGTTGCGTCTGATCACACACTGACGGACTGCGCCCACCGCTTCAAAGGGAGATATGATCGTGCAACTTCCTCCGGAGGAAATAGCCTTTCTTCCCCCCCCCCCCCTGTTTTTTCTGGCATGTGGGACTGCAACCTTGGATAGTTTTGTATTTTGAATTTTCATTATAAAAATTTTAAGTAGTTCGATCAGATATTTGTATCTAATACCTGTTTGCTTTGTACACCCTATCCACACTTATTTTGTTTATATGAGAGACACTTTAATATGTTTTGATTTAGCTGCAAAGCTTTTCCTGTTTTAGTGTTATAGAAAGATATTACCCGTAATGGTAAAGTCCAACAGCTTGTGTGCTTTTTGGACAGTAGCTGAATAAAGGATGTTTATGCTAGGGAAAGGCTACATAAAGGGCAGGCTTTGCTTGCTATTTTGTTTTTCCCCACCAGTAGGCACAGAGGCAAATGTAGCTGGCATATAGAATGGCATATAGTTAGGCAGTAGTGCAGATGGGGGTATGAAAACAGTAGTTATAATCCCTGGTGGTAGGCAGCATCTGTCACTGATCAGAGAGAGGCAACTTGTGAATAGGCAGGAAGCACTGCAGTTTGTGCCTGTGAAAGCAGATGCTATTCTTGTTCCCTCCCAGTGATGGGCAGCATCTGCCAAACTGTCTTAAAGTGTCTGCATGGCAGTCAGTAATGCAGAGAGATAGACTGGGACAATACCATACAAGGTGCGAACGATCAATGCTGAGGACAGATCTGAGATCTCCAACATGGTGCCCTTAGGTGCCATGGCACCCACCAACACCTTTCCTGGTGCCCGCCAAATGTTTTTAGAAAGTGGGTGGGGCCAAGTAGGGCTTTTGCCCAGCAGGGCTTCAGATTGGCCATTGGAGATCTGATGGGCTGTGCAGAATTTTAAGAAGTTCCTTCAACAGCAGCTGCTACCACATCACAAGGACTATACCACTGAAGATAAAGTATGTGTATGCAAGAAAATATTTTTAAACAGTATTTTAATTTAAAATGGCATCCTGTTAAACAGAGCTTCTGCTGGAAATACTGAAGAGTCAAGTGTACGACCTCACTCCCTGACATTTCATGGCTGGCTTTGTCTCTTGTGGCAGCCATTTTGTGCTTGGCTCTGCCTCCTGCAGCAGCCATTTCATAGTTGTGCCCACCACGGGCTCAAAAAGGTTGAGAACCCCTGGACTAGAATCTAGGAGACCCTGGTGTGACCCCCTAGTCTGTTGCCATTCATACAATCTCAGCCTAAACTACCTCACAGGATTGCTGGGCCATCCACATCAGAGGAAAGTGCTTGAGGGGACGGTATTTAGCATATCTTACCTATGAGTTCCACTTTTGTTTAAAATATATTTGTTTAAACAACATTATGATTGTTTAGACGTGAATGGGAAGAGTCATGCACAAGGAACCCCAGTTATCACTATATGCAATAGTAAGCTGTTTGGTCCCCATGCAGATGAGGAAAGCAAGAAAACCAGACCACCATCCAGCAAGGCAGTGATGAAGAAAATGTGACTGTAAATTAACCTTTCCAAATTATCTGATGAGGAATGAATGTGGAATGTTAGGAGAACTGAGTGTTAGCACCTAAAGAAAGAGGGAGTAGGGTTGCCAACCTCCATGTGGTTACTGGAGATCTCCTGCTACTACAACTGATCTCCAGGTGACAGAAATCACTTTGCCTGGAAAAAATGTCTGTTTTAGAGGGGGAGTCTGGCATTATACCTCACTGAAGTCCCTCCCCTCTCAGGCTTCACCCCCAAAATGTCCAGGTATTTCCCAACTCAGAGCTGGCAACCCTAGGGGAGAATCACCATTCCAAGGTCAGCAGAGCTTAGAGGATTTTGGAGGTAGGATATTGGTGGGTGGGAAAGTCCAGTGATTCCTCATATGCTTTATGTATATTATTTATGCCTACTGTCTGCTTTCTTAAATTGCTAACTGCACAATCCTATGCTATGTCTTCTCAGAGTTAATTCCTATTACTGTGGCTCAGTTTCACTCATATTGTGTGACTCTCGGCAGGGCAGCTGGGGAAGCAAAGGGGAGGAACGCCTCCCCAATTGGTCTTCCCTTCTCCCATCTGTGTTCTCCTCCCTGGGTAGGCTTGAGGTGTGGAGGAGCAGAGAAAGAAAGCAACTTTAAATGCATTCTTAAAGCCGCCCCACCCCACTGACCAGCTTGAAGAAGGCATTTGTCTCTTTAAATCCCTTCTCCAAGCCAAGCCAGCCAGGGCGGGGGCTTGGAGGACGCATTTAAAGTTAAAGTTGCTTTCTTTCCACCTCCACCTTCCTTTCCCTATGTATTTTCTCTCTCTCTCTCCCCCCATCTAAAGTTAAATGTGTTCTCCAAGCCTCGCCACACTGCCACACCAGCCAGCTGGCTTGGCTCGGAGAAGGCATTTGTCTCTTTAAATCCCTTCGCCAAGCCAGTGTGGCAGTGAGGGCGGGGAGCTTGGAGAACACCTGTAAAGCTGTTCTCCAAGCCCCGCCCCACAGTCCTGCCTGCCGGCTTGGCATGGGGGGGAGGGATTGGAGAACACATTTAAGGTTGAAGTTGTTTTCTTTCCACCTCTCCCTTGCTCCCTTATTTATTTGCTTTCTTTCCACCTCTCTTTCTCTCTCTCTTTTCCCTTTCTTCCTCCCCCCATCTATTTGCTTTCTTTCCACCTCTTTCTTTCTTTTCACCTTTCTTTCTCTTCCTGCCTTCCTTCCTCCCTCCCTCCCTCCATTTTCTCTCTCTCTTCCTCCTCCTCCCTCCCTCGCCTATCTATTTGCTTTCTTTGTTTCTCTCCTTTCTTTCCACCTCTTTCATTCTTTCCTCCTTTCTCTTTGTCTCTCTCTTCCTCACCATCTATTTGCTGTCTTTCCACCTTTCTTTCTCTTTTTCTCCTTTCATTTCTCTCTCTCTTCCTTCCTCCCCCATCTATTTGTTTTCTTTGTTTCTCTCTCTCTCTCTTTCATTCTTTCTTTCCACCTCTCTTTCCTTTAGACAAATAAATATCATTAGCAAACAAATAAATATCATTGGAAAAATAAATATCATTATCAATGTCTATTTTTACCCCTTTTGATTTTATTTTTGGCAGTATCATTTAATGTTAATACAAGCAAATTTGCATATTTTTCAATTATATTTGTTCATGTCTTGCGGCTCTCAAACGTCTGACATTTATGTGGCTCTTACGTTAAGCAAGTTTCACCACCCCTGTCTGTACATGCAATGGGGCTTATTCCCAGGAAACCATGTGCCTGTTTGCAGCCTAACTGAAACCACTGGAAACCAGTAACTACTACAATCTAATGAGTAGGTATAATAATAAGAATAAACAAAAAGGGAGTAGATGCAAAAATGGGGGGGGGGAATCCTGTCTGCTCATTGGTTAAATGACACCTAAACAATTTTATGCAACGCCATCCTAAGCAGAGTTCCACCCTTCTAAAGAGTGTGACCCTTCTTAGGATGGTGGTGTTGATAAATAACAAAGTTCAGTAGCAACACTTTTTAGATGCTAACCTTACTCTCTTTTCTCCAGTGGTGGTAAATTGTAACAAGTAGATTTTAAAGTACACCCAAAGTACATAGCCATCAGATTAACTCATATATTTACCAACTTTGTGATCAGAAGGTCATGGCTATTCCTCTTTCTTGTGTCTTATAGCTCTTCAGTCTTAGTCTGTGGATGTGCATGGCTAAAAGAGCAGAAGAACTGAAAGGAAACAAATGGGAAAATGTAGTTTCTTATTGATGCCCATGTATAATTCTAACCTAGAATGCAGTGATGCTAAGACAACATGATGCACTTTCATGCCTTCCTTTTCCTTTCTAAATAGAGACTTAGATGTTTTTAGGACACCTATGTAATTAATCTGTCATTAGCACTATGAATTAATTGCATTATAATCAGAACTAAACTATTTCTTCTTAATGGTTTGACTAGTTTCAGACTGCTTGGATAATCTCTAAATATGGGTATTACATTTCTGAAGCTCAAGGACATTGGTGGGTATTTCAGCTTCGGTGAAATGTTTAGTCAATGGACAAAATTACTTGTCTGTATTCTTTATGCAGGGCATTGCGATCATGGAGTTGCTTCTTCAAGAACAGTTTGGTAGTCCATTTTTGTAATGAGCAAAAAGTGAGTATATATACATATATATATATATATATATATATTTTCTATAAATGTAATAAATGAGACACAGAGAGGGTTTGAACTCAGTGGCAGAGCCCATGCGATCCATGCAGAAGTTTCCTGGCATCTCCAGATAGTTGGTGTTGGGAAAGACCTTTTCCTGCCCTAAATTTGCAGAGCTGCTACCAGCCAAAGACATAAACAATACTAGGTTAGATAGACTCAGTCTTTGTTTCATTTGTTGATGTGGCTTCAGAAAAAAAGGCTGTAGAAAAGTTATTTCTTCAAGTGTTGTTCATGGAGGACAATGTTTATAGACTTCAAGAAATGTTAGAAAAAGAGCTATTGATTGGTCTCTAATAAATGCTCTATGGTGTGATTTATTCTTTTTTGTGTCTTTCAGGTGAAGAAATCACAAAGTTTGAACCACGTCAATATGTCCTTATTCTCGAAGAAATTTCTTGAAACTCTTTGGGTTATCATTTTAATGAAGGAATGAGCAGGGGCCAAAAAGATAAGGGTCTACACACTATTCAAGTAATGTAATGAAACGGTGTTCTTTTAAAATTGATGCCTGGGAGTAATCATGAAGTACACTTTGCCCTTGTGCTTTAAACTATGCATTCAGAGGAAATGATCGAAATGAAGAACCAACCCCCAAGCTTGTGCTTCTGTGGAGACACTGTCGGCCCAGAGGAACTGCTGTGCAAGAGGGACATTTTATTTATAAGCACTATGACTTTTTATCATGTCAGGCTGCCATGTGAACATTTTTTTCGTCACTCAAAATGCTGGATTTATTTGTTTTTTTTGCCACAACTGTGCGTCAAATTCCACAAAGATTATACTTGTTTCTAAGGTATGCCAGAATATCCCTCTAAAATGTGAATAACAATAAAACATTACCATTTTCCTAAGTCTGCAGAAGCTTGAAGCCATAAAATAAATAAAAATATGTCTAAAAATGTCCATGCATTTCCAACCTAACCAGGGTTCCACTCATTTAAGTCCACTGAAGTTAATGGGCTTAGAAATGTGTGGCCCTGCTTAGGACGGGGCTGCTAATGGATAATTAATTCCAATAATGATAGTTTTTAGATGGTAACCTTGTTTTTTTCAGGGGTAGTAAGTTTAACAGGTAGGTTTCAAAATAGACATCCCACAGATTAATTCCTGTGTTTACTGACTTGTGTGATCAGAAGGTCATGGCCGTTCCTCTTCCTCCTTTTTTATAGTCCTGCAGCTCTTTCAAAGGGTATATCAATGATTTGGTCTACAGAAGACCTTCAGTCTTACCTGAATATCCTTATTTGAAAGTAAAGCAGATCATGGCCAAAGTCTTAAAACTTACAATAATGTTTTGTGTAGATAGATCTGATGAGTGTATCACATTGCTAATAAATAAATATCTGCATTTGTTAAAAAAAATTCTCCTGTGTTGGGATTAATGTTGTTGATACTATAAATTCAAGTGCTGGAAGGATAGTTAATATCTGCAATGAACTGGTATCTCGTCTGCATTGGATAGGTACTGTAAACATGCCACGGTTTGTTGGATGATGCTTAAGTAAACACCCGATATGAATATGTTAGAAATGTTTAAGTCTTGGCTAAATAAAAAATACATTCAGGAGTAGCAGGGAGGATGCTGTTTTGTCATAAATAATAAAATCATGTCCTTTTCAACCTTGTCACCTGTAGTTTTATGACTGAGACTGCTAGAGCAGCCTGGATTAAATTTAGATTTACCAGGCACAGCAGTTATGTCAGGTCATTTTTAATTCATTTCCTTTAGCAATAAGCCAGCCTAACCAGTCATTTGAACAGCTATTTGACAGCTGGCTAATGGGAGTGAAAAGGGTGCCAACTGCCCTGCTAGCTGACTCCCCCTTTCTGCTTTTCCCTTTCTTGCTAACACAGTTGAGGGCAGGAAGAGGAAAGAAAGATGCATGTTTACACAGGTGTGTGTGTGTGTGTGTGTGTGTGTGAGCCCCTATTGAACCCTACTAGCCTTCCTAGTGCCTTACAAGTGTTTCTTCCCATGCCTCTGTGTATGAAGTAAGTGATAAAATGGTTGAAATAGTAATCAAAATAGAAGACTGAGAGTAAGGTAGATGATTTGGAAAGAGGAAATCAAGGTAGTGACAGTGTGTCAGAAAATATGTGAGAACAAAAAGAACCCAGAGAACTCACAGTAATTTTGTCTCTAGCCATTTTTTATAACAGGACAGAAGCAGCATTCATAATGAACATATAAAGTTGCATTATCCTGAGTTAAATCATTGGTTCATCTATTTTAGCACTGGCTCCTCTGAAGGGCAGTGGCTTTGCATGGTTTCAGGCAGAGAAAGTTGTTTTCCAACACTTCCTACCTGAGTGGGTTTAATTGGAAACATCTGGGACTGGACCTCAGACCCTGTGCATGTAAAGTATGTGGTCTTGCACTATCTGTAGCCCATTCACATTGTAATTATGCCCTCATAGAAGTTGCTAACAGTATCTGAATATATTTTGATGCTTTACCAAAAGTTATATATTTGTCTATTTACTTCATTTGCACCCTACTTTTCTCCCCAGTGGGAATTCAAAGCAGCTTACAAAATTCTCCCCTTTTCCATTTTGCCATTACAATAATTATTCTCTGTGAGGTAGGTTAGTCTGAGAGTGCGTGATTGGTACAGGGTTACCCAGCAAACATCAGTGGCAGATTGAGGATTTGAACCTGGCTCAGATTTTAGACTGACACTCTAACCACTACACTATGTCTGCCAATAATTAGCACTGCTGGTAGTAGTCCATGTGAGTCATGTGAATACAATATTGCCTTCCAAGTTTCGGCATTCTCCTTGGTGATCTGACTAGAGTAGATTGCCACCAATAGGATTGCATCTATGGTAATTTACCATCTACCAGATCCCAATCCAGATCCCAAGATAGCCAAAGGCCTTGTCTGTGTGAGAGAACTCTGTGTGGTACCCAGAAGAAGATAACACAAAGTGCTGGTTTTTATCATAACGTCCTAAACGATCTGAGATCCATGGTATTTGAAATCCAATCTATTCCCACATGAAACTGCTTACCTTCTTCACAGGACCTGTTTCTGTGTTACCACCAATGGCCTGCCTTGTTCTTTGGGGAAATTATTTAGGCAGCAGGCAACGGCAAAGGGGTACAAGGGACTTGTACACCAGTTTATACCAAGGTCCGGTACAGTAGGAAGACTCCAAATTTGAAGAGTAAATTAAATAGTTTTTATTAAAGTATTTCCCTAATTATAAGCACACTAAACTTTCAAAAAGAGCAAGCAATACAGAACTAAGAAAGCAGAGGTGATTGATAGCGAATAGAGGGGTCAGTTACGGGGTGATACAACCTGTCCAGATGTGCAGGGGTCCATTGAGATGAAATTATGGCCCAAATCATTAGTTTGGGGATGAACTGCCAGTTGGCATCAGGGGTAGACACACAAAATCTGAGACCATGGGCTCTGACATATATAGACATTGGAAAACAATGCAGACCAATGGGAGGCCTTGGGGGCTGGTCTCAGGTGAAAACAATAGACCAATAAGGAGTCCATGGAGGTGTGGTACCAGGTGGAGTGTAATTCAGGTGTGACCAATGGGGTCCCAGAGGGGCAGAGGCTAGTTGCACAATAGCCTTGATGGATCTAGCCAGGTGCTGAATGGCTAGTTGAATGGGTCTTGATGGCCACTGATGGTTTGGCCAAGGTAGATTGGTTCCTCCGATTTACACAAAAAGTCGGGAGATGGGTCCCTGATAGACGCCAGGAAGGATTGTTAATAATTTGAATGTTTGATTAGTTATCTGAGGGATGGGGCAGGAAGGACAGGTGTTGAGATAAAGGATTTTTCACATAGGTATAGGAATCACAAAAGGGCTACGTGCAGAGTTGGAGACAGAAGGGCTATGTGCCAGGTGGCAACTGAATAGCTATAGAAATTCAGACACTACTCCTGGAGGTTGGATATGGCCTTGGAGGTCTGCCTTATGTGAAACCTGAGTATGAAATCCCTTTTTGCAGAGTGCTTGCAGGCTGACTCAGTGACTCAAGCTGAGAGTGCCCTTTCTGACTTGACCTTTGGGGACTTTGGTTCAGGTTAAAAGTGGGGTAACCCTGCTGTTGGGGCTACCCGCGAATAAGGCAGCACCTCTGGGCTACATCTGGGTGTTTCTACTTTAATGCGTTAGGTGGCTATCAAGGACATGGTCTTTTTGGTGTTTACAACTTTGTTGTAGAACTCCCCACTTCTGTGTGATGAGCACTGATGCTAAGAATTTAAGAAGAGCCCTCCTATATCAGACCAGTGGTTCATCTAATTTAGCATCCTGTTTCACACAGCAGCCGACCAGTTTCCCGGGGGGGGGGCAACAAACAGGGCACAGAGGCCAAGGCCTCCCCCCTGATATTGCCTTCTTGCACTGGGATTCCCTTTACTCACCATGGCTATAGTTTCAGGTGGGTGTGGTAGTATAAAATCTGAGTCCTGTAGTACCTCAGAGACCAACAAAATTTTCTAGGGTATAGGCTTTCATGAGTCAAAACTCACTTAATCATCTAGCGAAGTAAGCTTTGCCTTATCTGTAAAAGTGACCTTTGCCTCACAAAAGCTTATACCCTAGAAAATTTTATTGGACTCTAAGGTGCTATTGGACTCCCAATTGTGTTCATCATGGCTAGTAACCACCGATGGACCGATCTTTCATGAATCTTTCTAACCCTCTTTTACAGCCATCTGTGTTGTGGCCATCACTACCTCCACCGACAGTGAATTCCACAGTTTAATTATTCACCAGAGAAATATTTCCTTTTATCTGCCTTGTACCTAATGCCCATCAACTTCATTGGCTGCCTCCAAGTTCTAGTATTATGCCTTTTGAACATAAAAGACCATGTTATTATCCCAGGTTTTTAATGGCTTCAGGGTGGGGTTTTTTTTGGCATAATAATATCATTTTGGCTTTAAGTTTTTGGTCACTTTTTTGGCATTGCCTTATCTTAGTGTATTTTAGTTACACCGTAAACGAGATTAAAAGTTTTTAAAAAAAATAAAATTAAAATCTAGATATCTGACTTTGCCCTGAAACTGGAAGTTTTGGTGCTTAAGAAAGAAACCCAAGCCTTCAGCTTGGCTAATCCATAAACACTCATTTTAATTGGGAGTTGTTGGCAGAGAAGACAGAGGGTGTGTAAGGGAGGCTGCCCAGTAACGCCAGAGCACAATTTCTGCGACCGATCTGCCACTTTAAATTCTTAGTGGTACTCTACAGTTCTGCTTTTGTTACTACAGTGCTCCAGTGAGTTCTCTTCCAGCTAACTGTTGGCAAATTTGTTGGGAAGGCTTGTCAGCTAGATTTTTGTTTGCAGGTTACAGTATGGGCTGCTGGCTTTTTGTTGTTGTTGTTCAGTCGCATAGTCGAGTCTGACTCTTCGCATCCCCATGGACCACATCACGCCAGGCTCTCCTGTCTTCCATCGTGCTCCGGAGTTTGCTTAATTTCATGTTCATTGCCTCGATAACACACTCTAACCATTTCATCCTTTGCCATCCCCTTTTTCTTTGACCTTCAATCTTTCCCAGCATCAGGGTCTTCTCCAGTGTGTGCTCCCGTCTCATTTGGTGGCCAAAGTATTTGAGCTTCAGCTCAAATTTAGTAGCTGCTGGCTACTTAATGCTAAAACAGCGCCCCCCTCCCCACTTTGTGGAATATTGCAACATAGAACTGTAAAAATGCCTGGGTGTCTTGAACATTTAATTTTAATTTTAAATTATGAAAGCTCTTAATTTTTAATTACCCCAAACAGAAAGAAATAAAACACACAACAAAGTATAACAATGTTGGGAAGTCTACAGATAAGCATCTATAAAGTCCATGTACAATTGTTGTCTTTATGTCATATGTTCAAGTGTTTTGTGGGGTTTTTGTGCTATTTTTGTGTGTGTGTTTGCACCTGGATATCTCATTGAACTCTGGTGACTTGACCCCTTCAGGGGGCCTGGAGAATATTCAGAGAGGTGGCTGAATAAAGCCTGCCTCTGTCCTCCCAACTTGGTATTCTAAGGAAATCTCCCATCCAAGTACTAACCACAGTTGACCCTGCTTAGCTTCCAAGATCTGATGAGGTCAGCCTTGCCTGGGTTATCCAGGTCACAGCATGTGTTCAAATGTTGATAAGATTGTAAAGTCCTCAGTCCATTGCATTACTTGAGGTGAGCATTTATCTCTTCAGTGTTGGTAATTTTTTAAAAAATCAACTCTTATTAGAAAGTTAGTTGTGCTTGTGCTTACCCATATCTGTTGCTTGAAAATGTGAATTAGAAAAAAGTGCAGACACTTGTCAAAGAAACATAAATAATCATTTGAGACTCTTATTTCTTCTCCCACAAACTATTTGCAATATCTTATATTAACAGCCATTTTTCATTAACCTAGACTTGCTTCACGTTGTACATGTGCATGTTGTAATGAAGAGTGTTGTATCTATTTTTTGTAATAATTGTGACACTTTTTTTTTTACAAAAATGGGTTCTGATGCTCCCAGTATTTGC